GGAATAGAAATCGCTCATGGAGGCAGTAGGTACAATACAAGCTGTTCTCCTTTCCTGTTCCCCTACAGTGGAAAATCGCAAGGAACACATGGCTCCCGACAAAATCAGCAGCCCTGCGTCAAGGCCCCCCTCTGTAGCATGTAGCCAGTTTGTTGTAGTGGCTAAGAGTGCAGACTCTAATCTGGGAGAACCGGGTTTGATTCCCCACTCCTCCATGTGCAGCTGCTGGTGTGACCTTGGTTCAGTCACAAGTTCTTTCAGAGCTGTTCTCTCAATGTTCTCTCAAGAGCAGTCCTCAAAAGAGCTCCCTCAGACCTGCCTATCTTGCAGGGTGTCTGTTGTGGGGAGGGGAGGGAAAGGAGACTGTAAGCTGCTCGGAGACTCCTTCGGGTTGTGAAGGGCGGGGTATAAATCCAATCTCCTCCTCCTCCTCTTCTTCTCCTTCTCAGTCGGCGGTTGCCAACCTTTTTTGTATGGTAACTCTACTTGGTATCGTGACCCATCCAAGGCTGGCCCGAGATTTTTGGGGTCCCTGGCAAAGTATGACCTTGGCAGCCATCTAGTTCAGGATTCCATTTTCTGCAATGGCTAAGTAGATGTTTTTAAGGAACCAGCAAACATCCAAAGGTGATAGCTGCCCCCACTACGAACCCCAAGCAAGCGGCATTCTCTGACATATGCAGCATTTGCCGATGGAGGTTACATTCCGGCCTTTGCCCACCCTCTCCTTCTCCTTTCCTCCCTCTAATCCCCCCTAAGGTTCTAAGAAACTCACTCTAGTAACCATCAGGACATGTTTGACTTGACCAACATGGATATGCAGTGAAGAAAGAGTACCGACTAATGTATGGCATGGAAGATACTGTTTCCAGGGTCAGATCTTGTTTTCCGAAATACAGAAGAAAGGAATGGAGAGGACAGTGGGGCCATTAGGGAAGGCTGGCCCACCACCCGCATGCAGAGGCTTTGCAACCCACTTTGGGGTCCTGACCCACAGGCTGGGAAACTACATAATAGACCTCACACAGTGCTCCCACTAAGCTGTGGTGTCTTGTGAGTAAAAATTCTACTTTGTCAGCTCCTGGCATTAAAGTTGTGAGCGAGCGATTTGGCTGCTGCATAAACTAGTTTCCTCTGGAGCCGTCCTTCCTGAGCGAAGACAAAAATTTGTGAGCCAGAGGCTAAAAAACTGTGAACTAGCTCACAGTAACTCAGCTTAGAGGGAACACTGTGCTCCCTCTAAGCTGTGGAGTCTTGTGAGCAAAAATTCTACTTTGTGAGCTACTGGCATTAAAGTTGTGAGTGAGTGATTTGGCTGCTGCATAAATGAGTTTCCTCTGGAGCCATCCTTCCTGAGCGAAGACAAAAAATTGTGAGCCAGAGGCTAAAAAACTGTGAACTAGCTCACAGTAACTCAGCTTAGAGGGAACACTATGCTCCCTCTAAGCTGTGGAGTCTTGTGAGCAAAAATTCTACTTTGTGAGCTGCTGGCATTAAAACTTGTGAGTAAGTGTCAGCAAGCTGCCATTCTGTTTTCTGTGACCTCTGTGTACATATCTTTACCCTGTTGCACCCGGTTTGTTTCTACTATCCTGCTTCTGTGCTGGAATGCATAAGATAACTACTGGTGGATGTGTGGGGGAGAAGATGCTGTAATGCTTGCCTATTGCTATCTCATGAGAACTGCACCTGTGTTTTGTCTGATGTTCTGCCTGGTTCCCATGGACTGGGCGCGCAACCGTTTCATTAGCCCGCCAGCGGGAATATTATTCATTGGATATGTATCTGTTTGAATTTCCTTTATTATGCTCGCCCTACCTGTGTATCCCCAGTTCTAACAAAGAACGTGTTTGAGTATGTCTTCAACGCTTTGAAATAAATTTTGCTTTTCTTGAAAACGTGGATTTATTCTCGATGCTTGGGGATCCAACAGTAAGCAATCTGGTTACTGCATAAATTAGTTTGCTCTGGAACCATCCTTCCTGAGCTAAGGCAAAAATGTGTGCGCCGGAGGCTAAAGAACTGTGAGCTAGCTCGCACGAACTCAGCTTAGAGGGAACACTGCTCACAGTCCTGTGTCAGCATGGCGAGCATTTCCCCAGTCCTGCCAATAATTTGGAGCAGCAGCAGGGAAATGTACTACCTGATGACATCAAGAAATGAATAAACTTTGCTTGGCGTTTCCCGGCGGGCTTCCATAGGGAGGCTCACTATGCACGTCCAAGCAAGTTCACACCTTTCAGAGTCTGTTGAAGTCAGTGGGCTTCGATGGGTCTAACTCTCCTTTGCAAAGCACCATTCGGGCTTTTCTGCCTCGTCGTACAAGCAGACAGCAGAATACGCCCCATCGTCCATGATCTGCAAGCAGATTTTCAAACCAAACAACAGGGGGGGCGGGAAGGAGGGGGAAATGATCAAGGGAGTAAGACAGCAACGGAAGGGTAGAGAAATGACAGAGGATGGGAAGGGGGGTAATGAATGGGGCAAGAAGGAAAGGAAACTGACAGGCCAGGTATAAATGTTTCCTGGAGGCGAATACATCTTAAGACGAATTGGAAATATGAAGATGGATACTCCTTTTTTGCTTTGCTTTCTCTCCCCCCCTCTTTGTCTCTGTCATCTTGCTTTATTTTTCATCCTTGTTTTTCAGTCTTCCTTCACTCATCGGTTTCTGTTCCATATTTGATCGCGTGTCCCCAAGAGCCCCCAAAACTTTAGATCCTGACACACCAAATGTGTCTCGCTGTATGTTAGAATAAATGTGGAGGTTTCGGCTCATCCGATCTTGTCAGATCTCAGAATCTAAGGCGGGTCAGCCCCGGCTAGTAGTCAGATGGCAGACCACCTGGGTTGCTATGCAGAGGCAGGCAATGGAAAACCCAACTCTGTTGTCTCTTGCCTTAAAAATGGTATGGGATTGCCATAAATTGGCAGTGACTTAACAGCACTTTACACAAATAATAGTGGAGGCCAAGCCCAATCTCATCAGATCTCAGAAGCTAAGCAGGGTTGCCTGGGGCCCTGGTTAGTAATTAATTAATTATATGGCATTTGTGTGTAGAATAGCTAGGGGATCCTAAGATTGTCTGGCAGCCAGAAGTTCGAGCTCTTTTCATGCACCACTAGGTGGCGAGCTAGACTTGTTAGTACTTGGATGAGAGACCGCCAGAGTTGCAACAGCAAACCACCCCTGTTCCTCTCTTGCCTAGAGAACCCTACAGAGTCGCCATAATCTGGCTGCCCTCCTCCTTGGAGTTCACCTGGCACCTGCTCCAGGTGCATTGCGGTGACAGGTGAAAACGTTTCATTTCACACGGGCTTTTAAACTAAAACGTTATCCCATCTTTTTTGTCCGAATAGGATCTGAGAACCCCAGGCTCAAATCCCCACCCTTCCGTGGAAGCTCGCCGGGTGATTTGGGGACCAATCACACACTCTCAGCCTCACCCACCTCACAGGGTTGTTGTGAGGATAAAACGGGGGAGAAAAGGAGGACGATGTAAACTGTTACAGGCCCTCATTGGGGGGGGGGAGTGAGTATAAATGCAGTAGAAAAATGAATGAATAGTTTTCGGGCTGTTTTTCCCACATGTTGATGAGTTTACGGCCTGGTTTTATGCTTCAGAATGTTTCATGCTGCAGGTTTTAACCCGTAGGTAAGTTTGGTTTTTTGTGTGTCAGGAAATTATTCTTTTTTTTGGGGGGGGGGGTTGTATTTGTTATATGTGCATGTGCGTGTGTGCACCTGGATGTCATGGCGACCTCTGGTGACTGACCCTCTACTGGGGGCCTGCAGGATATTCAGAGAGGGGGCTGAGTAAAGCCTGCCCCCGCCTCCCAACTGCTGGTATTCCAAAGAAGTCTCACATACCCAAGTACTTGCCAGAGTCAGCCCTGCTTAGTTTCCAAGACCTGACGAGATCGGGCTTGCCTGGGCTATCCAAGGCAGGGCAGGAAACTATTTTTAATGACTTATTTCCTAATTATTATATCAATGCAATTTTAGGAAGGGTACTATTTATCAGAGGGCCACGGCTGCTCAGAGGTTAAGATGCTGAGCTGCAGACCGGAAGGTCTGTAGCTCGGCAGTTCGAGACCCGAGTGCTGCATGAATTGTAATTTATACCTCGGCTTTGCCGCATGTGAGCCGCCCTGAGCCTTTGGGAGGGCGGGATATAAATCAAATAACTAAATAAATAAAAAAAATATGATGGAGCCAACCTAGCAGTTTGAAAGCAAGAAATTGCAAGGAGATAAATAGGTACCGCTTCGGTGGGAAGGTAACAGCGTTCCGTGCGCCTCGGTGTTTAGTCATGCTGGCCACATGACCACGGAAACGTCTTCGGACAGCGCTGGCTCTTCGGCTTGGAAACGGAGATGAGCACCGCATCCCTAGAGTCGGATTCGACCGGCTTTCGAGCAAGGGAAACCTTTACTATTTATTGAGCTTTTTTGCTCAATCTCAGAAATTCTCCTCCTTTCTACAACGCCCACCCAACAGGGCTTTTGTTCATACAGATCCCGTGACTCCATCCCCCAACATAGCCTTTTGGATGGTCAGAGTTTGGTGTAGTGGTTAAGTGTGCGGACTCTAATCTGGGATTCCCCACTCCTCCACTTGCACCTGCTGATGTGACCTTGGGTCAGTCACAAGCTCTGGCACAGCTGTCCTTGGAAAAGAGCAGTTTGTGTCAGAGCTCTCTCAGCCCCACCTACCTCACAGGGTGTCTGTTGTGGGGAGGGGAAGGGAAAGGAGTTTGTAAGCCGGTCTGAGACTCCAAGTGAAGGGTGGGGTAGAAATCCAATCTCTTCTTCTTCTTCAGAATGGGAAACCCCCCTCCTCCCCTTTTTTCACCAGGAGGAAAACTGTCTGGATCCAACCCGCGGATTTTATTTCTTTATTTTGTGAGCTGCCTTGAGAAGATACCAGAAGAGACGGGATGCAAACGTTTTAAACAAACAAACAGCATTCTTGTCAATCATTTGCTTTATCTTTCCAGGAGTTCGTTCAGCTGTCCCAGAGTCTGATCAAGGACCCGGTTCTGCAGAGAGCGATTGCGGCCAGGGCGAAGGAGTATGTCACCCAGCACCATTCATGGGACGAGGAAAGGAAAACGTATCAGAATCTCGTGCTGAAACTTCAGTGAGTTGCTTAGCATCAAAGACGGGCCTCGCGTGGACGGATCCAACCAGCCTGCCAGAAGCTGGGCTCTTCTAATTATCAATACTGCTTGACAATCCTTTCCCCCCCCCTTACCACGTCATCCGTTTGAGGCGTTTGCCACCCAGTGAAGTTGAAATACACTGAGCTATATTTATGTACTCACGGTCACACACATGTCTGTGTCCATTGTTTACATATATTTCTACGCTGATGTACTTGAATATAGATATGTCAGAATTATAAGTACTGAGAGATTAAGGGCCAGTTCAAGACTTACACTTATTGCACAGTTGTTTAGGGTCGAGGGGTTTTTAGGGCCTTCCGCAGTCCTAGTGGAATGAATATCATTCGGAAGGCAGAGGAGAGTTTGAGATTTCCATTATCAATATTTGGCAAGTTGGTTTTAACCTACCCCTCTGTTCAGTTGTGCCCCCAACTTGCCGTCCAGCTCGAACGAGACAAAGAAGCAGTACCCACGTTGGCCCTGGGCAAAGGGAAGTCGGGTTGATTCTCACTGCCGGCTTTCTTGAAGGCCCAACTCTACTGGTGTGCCAGTACTGCCTCTCTGAGGAGTCACGTGGCTGCCGTCCATCCCAGTGGGGACGGTTGAAGTGATGCATTATGGGAACTCATTGTGGGAACAGAACCTGCCCACCGTATTTGTCACGAGGCTGGGGGGAGGGACCAGTGGCTCCTCCCCCTACCGACTTCAACCCAGAATTACGGGCGGGGGGGGGGGAGCTGTATGTCCATTTGCTCCTGCCAAACCAAGAAATGAGTCCAGAGAAGGAAGAAGAAGCCCTTATCTTGGGTTCTGGAGGCTAGATACAATCTGGGGCAACAGTTGCTCTGAAAAAGCAGACCTGACCTTGCCCGGTACTCAGCCAGACAACGGTATTAATGAGATGGGAGATTTAGGAGTGGGGGGAGGTGGTTGGGGGAACGTTCTGGAATCTCTGCCTCTTGCCCACCTGTCAAACGTCTTGGTCCTTTTGGTCCAGGTGGGCCCTTCATAGACCAGAGAGGATGCCCCCTTGGTCTGTGTGAGGATTACCCAGGGGAACAGAGCCTCAAACCAGTGGCTTAGTTTTTGCTCCCATCACGATACCAAAACGGGAATGTTGGCTACAGATGTCACATGGGAGCATCCACCCAAACGAGGGCCATCTTTATACCAGCAGACAATTGTGCACTCGAGTTTATTCATAAGGTACCAGAAAGCCCCAGCTACCTCAAAGCAGAAACGCCTACAGTTTTGTGAACTCCGTCAATGGCCTGCACCTCTGACGGGGAGATTTTCAGTCCTTGCAAAAGGGAAGCTTTAGAAATCATTTGTATGCAGCTCTCGGTACAATCGGACTTGGTCGCGCTTGCGCTCGTCATCTGAAGTCTCTCGGCTCAATTGTATTGTGAAGCATATTATAAAAAGGAATCGGTGTTTCAGAAAGGGAATTAAAAGGGGGGGCTGTTGTGCCCACAAATCTCGGAGCAATTGTGATTCATTTCCCGCTGGGTCCAGGAGGAACACCCGTGCGTTCTTCTGCCCCGATACGCCTGTTAGATTATTCATATATATATATTTAAAGCTTAAGTACTTGTTGTTGAAGAAACAATACTTACGGGCCGCAGTTTTGGAGGAAATCAAGCATGTGATTAGCAGCATGGGGCGGCCCATTGGATTTCCCAACGCATAATTTCCACGCGCATCGAGAGACTTGGATCAGCGTGGCAACATTACTGACACACTCTTGTTTGTTTATTGTATTTTACCCCATTTTTAACCCCCCCTCCCCCAAAGCAGTTATCGAGAGAACTGAAAAGTACGCAGACGGAGAGTGATTTCAGCAAAGCGTACTTTATTCTATCCGGAACAAGACGACTTTGGCCGGCTCGCAGGCCAGCTTATATCCCCCGAGAAACCACCACCCAAAACACACCCATGCTTCCCTATAGGTTATTTACAGTGGCCGAGAGTCCCATAGGCTCTCGGCCGGGAACCTAGCCCCCTGATTGGAGCGGGCTAGGATCCGCATAGTCCATTGTCTCTTGGAGCGAAGCTCGACATTTGTCTCTGGACTTGTCTGGATTTGTCTGGACTGGATACATTACAAGAACGTATCGCTTTAAAAGTACAAATAAATACCGTTCAACGGTAAAATAAAGACGTTGCCAAAAGCAGAAGCAGTCGCCGGTAGCAATCATCCAAAGAGCAGATGCAGAGCCAACCAGAACCAGTCCAGTAACACCAAACAGTTTTTATTTGTTCGCTCGTTTCATTTATACCCCAGCTTTCTCCCCAAGTGGAGACCCGAAGCTGTTCTCTCCACTTTATCCTCACAACTACCCTGCGAGGTAGGTTTGGCTGAGAGAGTGTGATGGGCCCAAGGCTACCCAGCCAGCTCCCATGGAAGAGTAGGGATTCGAACCTGGGTCTCACAGATCCTAGTCCAGCACTCTAAGCACTACACCACACTGGCTGTCTAGTGACCAATCCCACCAACTATGGTGAAGGGACACAGAGCTAAAGTCTCTCCAGATGAGCTAATGGTACAGGTGGGCTCATAAGGTAGGACGTCCTGACCTGGGTAGACCAGGCTAGCCTGATCTCATCAGATTGTGGAAGCTAAGCAGGGTTGGCCCTGGTCAGTATTTGGATGGGAGACCCCCCAAGGAATACCAGGGTCATGCCACGGAGGTAGGCCATGGCAAACCGCCTCTGAAAGTCTCTTGCCTTGAAAACCCTACAGGGTCACCATACGTTAGCTGTGACTAGACTGCGATTTCCACCACCACCAGGTTCATAAGGAAACAAGCGGTCCTTAATCTCTCCTTGCCTGAAATGGTTTAGGGCATTTGGCCCGGGGGCCGAAACAGGCCCCCGGAGGGCTTCTATCAGGCCCGCAGTGGAACTGGCTGCCTTCTGCTTCTTCTTCCGGTTCCTCTGCTGCTGCGTCATCGTAGGTTTGCAGCTTACAGAGACACACCTAAACAGCATACTCAAGACTGTAACAGCAAGGGGTGTCAGTTCTCAGACACTGTTAAATAAACAAAACATTGCATGTTTTAAGCATGGTTTTATTTTAAGGGGAAAAAACCCTTTTGTGTTTGTGTCCTTTATAAAGCTTATATCTCCACTCCCTGGCATTACATTTTATGACACACGTGGCCCGGCCCAACAAGGTCTCATTTATGTCAGATCCGGCTGTCACAACAAATGAGTTCGACACCCCTGGTTTAGGGTTTTAAAGGTCAAAAAGAGCACTCTCAACTGGACCCAGAAACAAGAAGGTGAACCAGCGAAGCCATATCGAAATAGACATCATTCAGTGGCGCTGCTCTGATTTTTGCAATCAACCTGTGTGTGTGTGGGGGGGGAATACCTGGCTGATTAATGCTTTCGAGCAACCCGTATGCCTGCATTGTTGATTTCTTTCTGATTCCAAACACCTTGTCTAGAGGTTCTTATTTCGTATGAGAAAAGGTTGAAGAGTCTGGGCCTTTTCGGTTTAGAAGAGAGACTACTAAGGCGGGGGACATGATAGAGGTTTATACAGCCATGCATGGAGTGGAGACTGGAGAGAGGTATCAAAGAGAAATTTGTCTCCCTCTCTCATTATACGAGAACTCGAGGACATCCAATGAAGCCGATGGGCAGTAGGTTCAGAATGGACAAAAGGAAATACTACTTTACACAGAGAGTGATTAAAATGTGGGATTTGCTGCCAGGGGATGTAGTGAGGGCCACAGGAATAAGCAGCTTCAAAAGGGGATTAGATAGCTTTGTGGAGGATAGAACTATCATTGGCTACCAGCCATGGTGACTAAAGGGAATTTCGATGTTAAGAGGCAAGCAACCTCTGAATCCCAGAGCCAAGAGGCAACATCAGGGGAAGGCCTCGGCCTCTATGCCGTTGTTGACCCTCTGGAGGAACTGGTTGGTCACTGTGCGAGGCAGGATGCTGGACTAGATGGAGCACCGGTTTGATCCAGCAGGGCTTTACTTCCATTCTTATGCTCTGGCTGCTGGCAGCATTTTTCATTTATTTAGAAACCGTATATTGGTCTGAAAACCCTTTTAACTTTAACTGGCCATGTGGTGTGACAAGACAGCAATAACTTCACTGGGAGTTTTCCAGGGATCAGTCGCCATCAAGTATGGGAGATTTTGATGCTTTTGTTCTTTAATTCTATAGAGGAGGTCAACGGCTAATTAATGGTTCTGTCCTCGCTACAGATAATCAGGAATGGCTGTTGATGACTGACAAGCCCCGGTGATCTTGACTTTTCAGTGGGAGTCATAAGGGAGGTTTCACAACTTCCTTCTCACTGCATGGTGGGTCAACATGTATTATACTCAGGGGTCATTTTGTAGAAAAATTGGTGCAGGAGCTCATTAGCATAACTCATTAGCATATGTCACACCCCCTGACATCACCGGAAGTGTGTCAGAAGGCAACACCCACCGCTCAGTTCTATTAGACTGTTTTGGATTACTAGCTATTGGGGGGGAACGTGCAGATCTGTCCTTGCAGAGGAGGGAGAGCTTGTACCTGAATAAAGCTTGGTCTTAAAGGTGTCACTGGACTGTTTTGGACCAGGGGGAGCTCTGCAACTTACCTGGCTGCTTCTTGCTCTGATTGAGGGCTGCTGGGAGCAGGGGGTGGGGCTTGTTGCATGTGCCCGCCCCCTGGGCTCTTTACTGCTGGAGCTCCGCTCCTGTGTGCTCCTGCAGGAAATGACCCCTGATTATACTTTATTTCCTTGAAGGTTCAATTGAAGTTCCCTTGGCCTGGCTAAGATAGGGTCTTGTGCTGTGTTACACCAGTGTCATCTTAGAATGTCAGCTTGTAGTTTTGGGTAACCTCAGACTGCACCTCTTCAGCAAGTTTTATTCTCTCCCCCCCCTTTCGGGTAGTTCCCCAAGGTAGGGGGGAGGCCTTCTGGAAAGTAGAGCACTGTAATGCAAAAAAAAAAGTTTCCAATGATTTAGAACTGTGGGGAATAACCTGACCTTGACTCCCCACTTTGAGCATAAAACCCCCCAAGAAGGGAGCTGAAAATGTGAAGCCTTAAGGCTCAATCCCATGGTGACTTTACTAGTCAAATAGCTGTTCCCTGTGCAAGACGGTCAGGTTCTCCTTGAAATGCTACGAGTCTCACATCATCCCCGCAATGAATTAACCTGCCGTTTTTAACCCCGCGCAATTAACATCCTCCCTTTCACTTCCGAACCCAGAGCGCTTGTCAATCGATCTGGAATGCCAGATTTCCGCCAGCGCTGGACTTGTTAAAGCCTGACAGCCCGCGACAGCCCGGATAGTTTGGCGGATTAATCGCCGCTCCTTTGGGATGCTGCTTCCCATTCAGAATTGACCGGAGTGATTTAAAGTCCTAATGGATGGCTCAGCGATCCCAAATTAACGACAACGCTCACAAAAAAAGTAGTTAAGTTTCCCCATCTCAAGGAGACAGGCTCCTTTCTCTTATCAAAGCGGCCTGAATAATCAGAAGAGGGGACGAGCCATCGGAAAGAAGATAATCAACTTGTGTCAGTGGCTTTAAAACTTCCGATCCCCCAAGGAATCCTTCCCATATTGACTATCTGTGAAAGAAGCCAAGAGCATGTGTGGCAATGGAT